TTTTATGCATGTTTAGGTAAATACTCTGTATATCTTGCATGCAGGGTTCGGTTCTATGAAGGTCAGCAGATGGTAGCAGACACAGGAATTATTATTGACACAACCATGAGAGGAGGCAGACTGGGAGTTTTCTGCTTCTCTCAGGAGAACATCATCTGGGCCAACCTGCGCTACAGATGCAACGGTCAGTTATTTTGATAAAATATATTTTGCATACATTAGAAAATAAGTAAACAGTCTACACTCACTCAAAGAGCTTACTCTCAGGCATATAAATAATCTGAATTCCCAACCGTTCTACACATCCTCTGCCACTTGCTTGCTCATTTATTATTTTGGCTCATTTGAAAATACTTAAAGCTACCAATAGGAGTATAGTACTCCCAAATATTTAACATATTTTACTTTTTTTTTTAAGTTATCATGAAATAAAAAATATATCGATATGTATTTATACAAAATAAAGGTAAATACTTATTTCAAGTCTTTTTTTTTAGCATGATTCATTGAATCATGTTATTTCAAATTTATGACAAAAAGCAATATATAATTTTAGGGTAATTCCTCGTTTTTCATGATCCAGTTCCCATTGGACTTTCAATGAATATCCTTTCACTTGGAAGACCTTATACATTCTGCAGAATCCAGCAGATTTTCCCTTGAAAAAAGTGCAGAATCATACATTTTTTGTATTATTAAGGTAAAATGTGTAATATGGGTATACAAAATTCACAGTCTCTGAGAAGAAAATTATTAAATTCTATTGTATTTCCTCTTTGTTTTTGCAGACACAATCCCAGAGGACTTTGAAACATTCAGAACCCAGCAAATCCAGCTTTTTTAAACCCAAACTCAACATCAGAGTTATTTTTTACAAGGTTAATGTGTTTTGAGTTGTATATTTCTGTCATGTGTGTCATATTTCATACTCAACTTTTTATACTTTAAGAACAACAGTAGATAAGCCTTCCTCAAAACCCCAAATGACTGACAGATACACTGATGACACTGCATTAGCACTGAGGTCACAAACACCAGAATTTAAATATATATATGTATTTTAAAAACACGTACAGAAATACAGGTTACAAAATATAAATGATATAACAAGAAGGCTCTGATATATGCAGCTGAGACATCATGCACATCCATATTTAGCTTTTTTTTCTGAGAAAGGAAAAGGACCAGCAATACGACAAAGACAAAATCAGTTCCTTCTACAATCAATAACCACAAATAGGAGACAAAGATGACCACACCAGCACAGCGACTATAGAACTGGGCCTCTGGATAGATCCAACACAATGAAAGCTCTAGGCAACCACAAATTATATGTCCTAATATACCGTTAATTCCAATAAAGAGCTAGCACTGTTTATGCTCACAAAATGAAAGATCACAAAGATTTGATGCACATTCTGTAATCTAACACTCTCATGAGCGGTCTGTTTACAATGCCTTTTAATACTTATTAACCTGCCTTAAGTGATATGACAGTTGACGAATTAAAAAATATATCATCTTTACAGAAAGAAATCAATGTAGATGGCACTTAGTTTATGCTAATGCTATGAGTTAAGGGGAAGGTTTGTTATACTGATCAGCGCTATCCTATGGGTCACTATCATTATGTTTATCAAGAAGTACATCCCATCTAGTCAACTACGTCCTTATTAGTCTTAATGGTACGGACATGGTAATCATGGTAACTAACTGCTTAGCAGTTCTATTAAGGCTTAAAGGGGAATTTACGCTAAAGGGGGTTTGCTCTGCACACAAATAACCAGGACACAAATGAACAAGTCCAACATACATGTAAGTGCTGTTAGCTAAAACCGCTCCAATAAAATGCCCCAAACAGGCAGTTTGGCTGCATGCTGCATGTTCATCAACAACAGATTATTTGACCAATAAACACATGCAGTCTGCCCACATCTCATGATGTTTAACATGGTAAAGCAACAAACAGACTGAGCCCTTTTTTCAGTTTGCATGGGAAGTCACATATACGCTTCCAGAATTGTTTTCCCTCTGAATTATCATTGCAATACAGAGAACAGTTCACAAAGAACATCTTCACAATAAACTGGGGGAAAATGCATGTACAGGGTTGAACAGTCGGCATTCTCAGAAAGTAAAACAGTCCAAGTTTCATGAGCAAAGCCGTAGCTGAAGCCCCTAGGAGCAACAGCCAGAAGATTTTGAAGTAATGCACATATGTCAGTATGAAAGCTGCCATATCTTCCAGATTTCTGACAGGATTTCAAATGGAAACTCAAGATGCAAGGGCTGAACAAATCGATAGGGAGGGGGAATGACCCAACTGAAGTTAACAAACATGCTATAACTGTGATGAACAGAAAAATGCTACTGTGACCCAAAAAAAGCCAACATAACAGATCATAAAAAACAACAACAAAGAAACTAAAGAGCTTTGGTCAAGCATTGCCAAGCAGGTAATTTGGTGTAATGCACTATAATAACACGGAGCCCCATAAATACATTCCGTTTCTAAACATGATCATAGACGTAGTTATCAGTGTCAAACCAGTAAAATGATACCACTAGCATTAATTAAAACATGCATTGTGTCTCTGGAATCTATTTTGTTTTATGTTCAGTGAATCTTTTTACTGGAATCAGCCAAGCTAATGAAGACCTCGTTCTCTAAAGGTATTTTCTCGTTTTGACATGCTGCCGTCATGTTCCTGTGATAAGTTTTATGTACACTGTTTTCAGGAAAAAAAAGTGTCTGAGACAAACACGTTCATGGAAAACGTGAAAACAATAGAAGAAATATTCTGAATGGCACAGTTTGAAGAATAAAATGTGAGTATTGCAGTTTTTGTTGTCTAATAAATATCCACCATCTGAGCCAATCCCTACTTCTCAGCCCTTAGTACACAATTCATATTCAAACAAAAATATTCCAGATTGTTAGTTGATTAATGCTTTTAGTTTGCATAGGAATCACAAATGGGATTTGCACCGATTTAAGAGTTATTTCCTTGAAGGATCCAAATGTCCAAAATGTATCTGGCCAAAAAGGGCTAAACTTCACCAGGTTATTTTGGTAACGCTGCCTTTTACAATACAGTACTTACGTGTACTTACAGTGTACTTACCTAGAAAGTACTGGCTAATATAAGGTAAGTACATGGGTTAGGGGTAGGTTTAGGGGTAGGTTCAGGGTTAGTACCTAGTTATTACCCAGTAATTATAATTACTATAATAAGTACATAGTAAGTACATGGGTATCAGGACTGTAAAAGGAAGCGTTACCGTTATTTTTTGGTATATGTTTTTGGACTGACAAATTAGATACAGTGGGGCCCAAATGTATAATTTCTTTAAATAAATGTAAAACATCTATTTAAACTATATCATCCGCATAACAGTTTGACAAAAAAAAAAATATCTTAGATTTTGTGGTAACACTTTACAACAAGGTTCCATTTGTTAACATTTAACAAACTAACAATTAAAAATACTTCTACAGCATTTATTAATTTTAGTTCATGTTAATTTCAACATTTACTAATACATTACTGGTCATTATTAATTTCTGTTAGCTCAGATACAACAATTTCTTTTTTTAATTGTCTTTGTTTTAGTTTAGTTTTTTTTTAAATCCTACAACTTTCCAGGTTTGAATGAAAAAAAGTGGTGTTTTGTAGACCCCACTGCATATAGAGATCATAACTGTGTCACTGAACTGTAAATGAGTGATTCGTTCATTCCTTCTAATAGCACAGAGGTCTTCAACCTTGCTTCTGGGGACCCACTGTCCTGCAAATTTTATTTCCAACCTGCTTCAGCACACCTGATTGTGTGCTATCAAGTGATCCCGAAGATCTGATTAGCTGATGCAGATGTGTTTGATTAGGGTTGGAACTCAACTCTGCAGGACAGTGGGTCTCCAAGAGCAGGGTTAAAGACCTTTGCTATAGCACACAGGGCAAAAAACGTCACTTGATCAAAGTGCGACAGGGCTCGAACATACATGTGGGAATGAAAAATACAAACTCCGGTAAACAGCACAGAATAAGGAGCATTACTCTCCCCATGCCAGATGAATGACATCATCTTCACACAGAAACTTGAGTTTTGTTTGGCAGTACAAGTACAAACTCTACAGCACTCAATACCAAACAAAATGGCATTGGTAAAACAAGAATATCGAGAGGAAAACACTTTGGAGATTAGAAAATCACATCGACAGTTAAAAACAGCATTTTGTTCATATAAGGCAAAATCAGGTCCTCTCACAGTGTAGTGTTCAGCAGGTTTCTGCAGCAGCTCTTGTATCCCGTTTACTGACCACTGTTGAAGCGTACATTACAGTGATAACAGTAATCAAATCTTCAATTTGAATAAGATATGCAGAACATACAGAAAGTCACATGACAGTCCACAAAAACACCAACATATGGGTTATATTTCTATCAAGAGACTGCTGTACTTTTGCTAGAAAATCTCATTAATTACTGGCAAATATAAAAAAAAGAAAAAAAGAATGATAACACCAATCGTGACATCTTGAGATGTTTGGATGTTACAAAATGCTAGCAAACTGAAATGCCATGGAAGCCATTTTGTAAAAGCAAACTTTATGCCTTCCAGTGTACAATGAGCAATGCTCCCTTAAACACTTAATACACAATCTGGGGGAGTAGTGCTCCTTACAGAAATATAATAAAATAATACATATATCTATAATTAAAAAAATAATTAAAATAAATACATATTATAAATAATATGTCGATTTCACACACATTATTATACAGACGGATAATTCTTCATGGACATATGCCATAATTATGTAAACATTTTAAAATAGATGAAAGTTGGCAATTCACTTAATGTGACAAAATAATTAATAAACATACTGTAAATATGAATTAATTAACATAACACACAAATGGTGTGAACCATAAAAGATCCATATGCCGATGGAATCAAACAGATAAACAAAACACAAAATACATCAAGACAAACAGAAAATGGATGTTGGCGACCAACCAAGAAAACGAAATGCAAACAAACAAAAACAAAACATGAATACATGAAGAGAGTGGATGGTGGACGGTATTGCGCATTGGAAACTATCCAGTGTGGATACAGGACTTCCACCTCCACCACCTCCACCCTCGCTGCCATCACCAGCTCCTGGCCATGAGCGGTTAGGCAGCATGCTGTTGTGTGGGTGGTTGGGAGGACGAGGTCAGCCACTCACCAGATGGTGAACAGAGAGGCCATGCAGGGGAATGTCTCGCTTAAAATTGCATTCACAGGTTCACAGTCGATCCATGCGGAATGTGTCCTCAGTTGCCGGGTCGGCGAGAACCATGTCCGGGTCGTTGAGCATGTGCAGTCCGTCTAGTGTCAAGGGGTCAATCTTCAACTCGTCCAATGGGAACTGAGAGTCTGCATCAAAGCTGACGTCACCAACGCTGGCCAATGAGCTGGTGAGGTCTTTGGAGAGACTGGGTGGAGATTCCCCTGTTACTAGTGTGCGACAAATCAAAAATGCCAGTTAGCAACTAATAAACGGGTGTTCACACATACAGTGACAACAAAGTGACAAGAAGTCATTCATTTTTAGTTGGAGATTTTCCATGAGATCAGTGACGTGTGTTTGGCGTAAGTTTACATTTCATTAAGTTCAGTTTAGTGATGCACTGAAATTTTGGTAAATGAAAATATTGGGCCAAAAATGTATTGAAAGTTTCAGCTGAAACAGTTTTGGAGGACCGAAATCTTTCACTGAGATATGTATCATTAATTAGTGTTTCATAGCATGGTCACAGTTTAAAGATACTTTTTAAAATCATTAACAATGTGACCCCTCTTAGACAGATCAGGGTTAAACAGCGTTCTAGTGCATGGTTTGAAGAAAGTTATACGTGATGCTATTAAAACTAGGGGAAAAGCACTTAAAACTTTTCATAGAACTAAAAATCATGATGATTTTATTTTATATAAACAAGCAAGAAATAAGACTCAGGAACTTATCAGAGATGCTAAATCAACAAACAAAGATAACCCAAAAAAGTTGTGGAAGACCTTACAGGAATTGGGGGCCGCTAAGACAAATACTCAGAAACCAAGAAGCATAGGACTAACAATTAAGGGTGTCCTAAATTTCAATAAGTAAGAGGTTGCTTTTGCTAATCATTTTAATACTTATTTCACTTCTATAGCAGAACAGCTGGTCTCAAATCTTCAACCTTCCTATGGGTTATTTAACATTGATAGGGTAAAATCATTCTATAATAAACTTGGAGCACTGCCTAACTCATTTTCCTTACGGAAGGTTGAGGTAGGGGAGATGGAACAAAAGCTATTACAGCTAGACTGCTTTAAGGGCCCTGGGTTAGATGGGTTATCCCCTCGGTTTTTACGAGATGCCGCTGCCCAAATAGCCCCATGCATCTCCCATTTTTTTAACCTGTCTGTTAAAACTGGTGTTTTCCCCAATGACCTCAAGAAGGCCAAGGTAGTTCCCCTTTTTAAAAAGTGAAACAGCCACGATCCTGGTAACTACAGACCGGTCTCTATTTTATGCACAGTCTCAAAAAAAATTGAAAGGTTGGTCAATGAGCAATTAAATGAATAGATTAATAAAAATAACTTCGTGTTTAAATTCCAATCCGGATTCAGGAAGTCACATTCTACCTAATCATGCCTACTCTATATATCCGACATCATACTGTCGTGGAAATTTTAGGCTCAATGTTGGGCTGACCATGTTTTAACATTTGACCTTATTTGACATGCTAACACTCTGAAACAATGTACTAAGATGTTTTGTCCTTTGGATGAATGTATGTATGTCTCTTGGAAGAAAACCCATGACTGTGTGTATAATAACATAATTTGGGAAATTAAACTAGACAGGTGTCTAAACTCGAAACAAAAAACAGAGTTTGGTTACCTAGTAACCAAAGGGCTTGTCAATGAAGAACCAATCAAATTAAGTAATGTTTCATGTCATATTGCCATACCTCCTTATTCTATAAAACTGTTGTATTTGTGTTTACTCGGGGGATTCTCAATGGGATTTGTCTGAGATCCACCGGCCATGCTTATTGCTTCTTTTTGGGAGACTCTCTGAGAACTGCTCGAGACTCCCGGCCATAATAAAGAACATTTAAAGGACAATTACTCAAGTCTGTCTGTCATTAAAGCTGCGCAGCAAGAGAACAAGTAAGTTAGAATTATTGGCTCTCGACGCTGTAGTCGACTGGAGACTCGCTGGAGATTTAGACGGATGCTGTAGTCGACTGGAGACTCGCTGATGTATAGTTAGGGAGCGGATGCTGCAGTCGACTGGAGACTCGCTGAAGTATAGTTAGGGAGCGGATGCTGTAGTCGACTGGAGACTCGCTGAAGTATAGTTAGGGAGCGAATGCTGTAGTCGACTGGAGACTCGCTGAAGTATAGGGAGCGGATGCTGTAGTCGAATGGAGACTCACTGAAGTCTAGTTAGGGAGCGGATGCTGTAGTCGACTGGAGACTCGCTGATGTGTGAACGTAGCTACTGTCAATCATTTAGACGCGCTAGCGTATAAGTTATACTATAATAGTTAGTCTTAGGGAGCCAAATCTAAAATAGTTAGGTTTGAGGATAGAAAATCCATAACAATACGCAGGAAAATAGATAATGGAAATATTTGCAGAATGGTGTTATTGGATCTTCAAAAGGCATTTGTTACGGCGAATCATGACAGACTGATTGCCAAACTTGAGGCCTTTGGGACAGGTTTAGATCTTACCTATCAGGGAGGGAACAATTGGTGGTCTTAGAGGGAGTGCTGTCAGACCCTTGTGTAGTTGAATGTGGCGTTCCACAAGGAAGTATTCTCGGACCGTCCTTATTTTTAACATACATTAATGGTATGGCAGACTCCTGTTCATGTGAACTATTTCTGTACGCTGATGACTCTGCACTTTTAATCTCTCATTAACAACAATCCACCCTAGAGAGTAACCTAAGCTCTGAGCTATATTCTGTAAACAACTGGCTGATTGACAATAGGTTGCCCCTACATTTTGATAAGACAGAGGCCATCTTGTTCGTCTCAAAATACAGATTGAATAGATGCTCGGAATTTAGGGTTATTTTGAATAATGTTGTGGTCAGTACAAAAGCGTCAGAAAAATACCTGGGTTGCATCCTAGAAAACAACTTGGATGGCAGGAATATGGCCAATAAGGTTCTGAGTAAAGTCACCGGGCTCACAAAGTTTTTAGCCAGAAACACTACATTTTTAGATAGGTCAACAATGATTATTGTAGCCAACGCCTTAATTTTAAATCATTTGAATTTGCATGTACTTACAACAAACTGACTTAAAGGGAGACTGCAAACAGCACAGAATAAATTAATAAGAGTAATTCTGAACTTGGGCCATAGGTCTCATATAGGTAGGTCATAATTTGTTGAGCTCAACTGACTCCCTGTTGAGTCTCGTGTTATTATGTCAAGGCTGATCATGATCCATAAAATATTGTTTGGTAATGTCCCAAATTTTTTGTCATGTCTTATTACTAAGGTAAAGGACACACACAACATCTACACTCGTCGCAGGATATCCAGAGCTGCCAACTCTCACGCATTGGCCGTGAGACACACGCATTTGATTGGTTTCACACGCTCACACGCCACACCCCAGATTTCTCACGCTGAAGTGTCAACCTGGTCGGTCAAATGCCTGGAAGATGAGTTTATCTATATATCTACCTGTTGAGCCACTCGTGATCGACTATTTATGCCGTAAATTAGTTAAAATCTCCCGGAATCTAGAGCGAGCGCGTACGCGAGACAGAGATTGCACTCCAAACCAAGCAGAGCGCGCGCAAGTCAGAGAGGGAAAGCGAGCGAGAGACCCAAAACATCACGACCTAGAGACCTAAAGTCCTGGACTTTATTGTGTTTTTATCCTCGATTGTATTTGATGCCTTTTTTTTGTTTCATGTGTAAGGCATTCTTGATACAATTAAATAAATCAAATTCTCCAATGGCACATTTTGACCGTGTCAGTGACTTTTTTATGCACACAACATTGATAAGTTTACAACAGGTAAACATGTCAGCTGTGTGGATGCTAGATCTGGGTCGACAATATCGATTTCTCATTTTTAATCGATCTTTTAGTCTATTCTGTTTTCAGTTGATGAGTGAACAAAACTTCATTAGACATTACTTGTAGCATGCCTACCATCTAAAAATCACAATAAGCTTGTGATTTGTTAGTTTTTAGTTTTAAATTCTGTCAATTTTATTACAAAATTCAAACAATAAATGTCGTTTTGATGTGCTTTAATGTGGTGTGACAGATCGCTGTATCTCCCTCGGTTCAATAATAATAATAATAATAAACTTTATTTTATATAGTGCCTTTAAAAAAGTAGCATTCTCAAAGCACTTTACACTTTACAACAGTCTAGGCAGTAAAAACTAAACAACCAATAAAAATACAAGGCCGATATAATAACAAACACAGCAATCACACGAATCACATAAAAGCCACCCTAAAAAAGTAAGTTTTAAGGGACGATTTAAAAACTCTAAGGGATTCTGCATTCCTAATATCAGAGGGCAGGGAATTCCACAATTTAAGAGCCAAAGAAGAAAAAGCCCGATCACCCATAGTTTTTAGCCGTGTTGTTTGGACAGTTAAAAGACCAGCTTCAGAAGATCGTAAAGCACGTGTAGGAGTGTAGGGGGTTAAGAGCTCACACAAATATTGAGGGGCCAAGTTATTCAAGGCCTTATAGGTGAGCATGAGAATTTTAAAATCAATACGAGAACTAATAGGAAGCCAGTGCAATTTTTCCAGGATTGGTGTAATGTGCTCCCTTGCACTGGTCCCAGTCAGAACCCTAGCAGCCGAATTTTGTACCAACTGTAATTTACTTAGGGTAGCTTTAGAAACCCCAGCCAGCAAAGCATTACAATAATCAATACGTGAAAAAACAAAAGTGTTGATTAACTTTTCAGCCACAGAGAAGGTCAACATAGAGCGTAATTTGGCAATGTTTCTGAGATGAAAAAATGATGTTTTGACTGTGTTACGAACATGATGGTCAAATGTTAAGTTGGCGTCAAATATCACCCCCATATTTTTAGTTTAGTTTCAAGCGGCGGTTCAAGCGGCAGTGAACCGACCATCTCTTACTCTTTACTACTAGTTATAGCATTAAATAAAAATGAATGTACATCAGAAGGTATACTGAAAGAAACTAAAATGATTCATGCCTCATGTAATCGCTCAATCAGTGTTTCAACCGCAGAAAGACGTTAATAAAACGGCCTTGTTGTGTCGATGTACTGACACTAGGGGTCACACTTGGGAGCCCCAAAAACCTCTGATACTTTGAGAAAATGCCAATGAAAATTGACAAGTGGAACTTGCAAGCACCACTCACTCATTTATACATGCAGGTATAAAAGGAGATGCAGTGCATCAATTCATTCAAGTTTGTGCTAAAGAGGCGAGACA